GCTTGTTCCAGTGTGGCTGCGGCTTGCACGGAACAAGGCCACTGCGCTGAAAAAACTGAACATCTGAAGCTTGCTGCAACAAATTGTCATGTGTTTTCGATTCTTGTGTGATACCGATGTTAGTCTCAATGCTGCATGCGTATTGTCACAGATCAAAGCGGCAACCCTGCTGAAGTCTTTGTCGGCCACAGATTCAAGGACCGCAAAAGCTTTATGGGAAGAGCGTATCATCCCACCTCTTGAAATTATCCCATGATGAGTCCCATGATGGCATGGACTCGGTCGGTCATGCGTTCTGCAGAGCAATGGGCTCATATTGAACTGCCGGATCCCAATGACAGTCTAAAACAAGGCTTGGAGGGAAAGGAACCGCCTAAGCTCAATGCCAGACGGTGCTGATTTCGCAATCAACCTTCAAGAAGCCTACTTTGGAAAGCAGGAAGAGTTGTCGACCTTGTTCCAGCTTTGGGAGACCCAATGTCACACTCCATGGCCCTGCATGGCCTACGATCGAGGACGCAATGCCCCCTTGTACAGCATGACCTCGACCAGGAGAGGGACAAGCAGGACCTCAACCAACTATATCCAGACTTCAAGATGCTTTGGGAAAGCGAATGGCCATGAAGCCTGGACCTGTTGCTTGAAGATATGGAGTCGAAGGTTCTGTTGCAAAAGCTTTGGCCTGGGCTGCCTGGAAAGGCTTTAATCACACTACATAGACGGGGCATGTGCTTGATTCCCGTTCTCAGTTTGATCACCAACTTCAGGAACGAAATGCAATGTGGAACGAACACAGCTGGGGCTGGGACGAGTATGAGGACAATTGCATGGCACGGAAGCGCATTGTAGTGCAACAAGTGTATCTCAATCATGGCAGTTGCATGCACTCGCAAAGCTGGTAGTCTTTTGTCGTCACGGCACAGGAGAGGGATGAGGAGACTGGACGACTTCCCGGCTTGTCGATCGTAGCAATCACGCGATGATCATTTCAATCGGCCCTCTACACTTCTGTACGTTTCAACTTGGTTGTCAATTGCACCCGCTTCAGACAAGCACCTGTGGTTCACAATATGAGTTGAAAAGGTTATCATCGTACTATTTCGCAGTCTTCAGAACAGGTTTACAAAGCAAAAAAGCTTGGGAGTTTGCAGAAGGCTTTGCCACTCGTAGACTCGTAGCTTTAGTACTAAAGCGTCTTTGGGGCTGTTTGGGGGTGGGGGAGGGCAAAGCTACTGGCTCAAAAGGCCAGTCTCGAACTGATTTAACTGCTTCTAGTCTGCTTCTAGTTAAAGATGATCCTTCACAAGTTCATCCTGGACGATCTCGTCTTTGCGGCTTCGTTCGTGGACCGCCAGGCCTGGGGCGCTCGGGGCGGCGCTATCGAGGTGATCAGGACTGAATTAGTTGGAGATGTTAAGTTACAATGTTTTTGCGTAAAAGTGGTTGAAAAAGTTATTTAATGTTAAAATGTGTTTAAACATGGAGGTAAGGGTACCTACCTTGTTCCCAATCTTGAGGGTGGAAGAGATGCTCCATTACTATGAGGCTCAAGGGCTCTAATGCTTTGGTGTTTGATTGGAAAAGCCATTGGTGTAACCATTTTGTGTGGTTACTCATTACTCTCAAGATTGAAACATTTGTTGATGACTTAGCCAAATTCAGAGGTCGTTGTATGTTGTTGTGGAGCCTTCGTTTTCAAGCCCCAGGAGTGAAGCCTGCACCATCGCCTCACCCTCAAAGTGGACATGTGCCTGTCAATCAGACAACTTGATCTTTCTACAAATGAAGCAGTCGCACGGTGCTCGATTCCATGAGGAATATGACATGGAAACATGACGGCTTCTACCTACCCGATGCATTTGATTGAGGAATGGACTTTGGACTTTTCGGCTGTGCCCTGCAACTTTTTGTGCTGAGGTGAATTCAGCTGCTCCGAGGGCCCGTGCCCCTACCGGTCTCTTGCTGAGATGGTGGAATCCGCCTCGCAGAAGGGAAGGAAAGGACCACACAGAACGCTTCGCCAGCCTGGGCCAATTGCGCCAGTCAGGTGGTCCATTGTCGAGTAGCATGTCATTGTAGATAGCATCGCTTTCCTTTTTCTCCTCGTGCCACGTTAGGAGGCATACAATGTGGAAAAACACTCCCTATTTGTACTACAAAAATGCAAACTATGCTATTCCTCATGTTAAGCACTACTTGCATCACCTCACGTTTGCTTCTCGGAAGGCCGCTTAAAATGCCAGCCCAAACTCAACTGCCACGTGCTTTTTTTGAGTGTTCTTAACACTATTCCCGGAAGACTGGTTGGCACACTAGTCAATAGTCCCCTCGCCTATAAAAAAACCACGTGGCAACTATGCGTGATCGACTTTGTATAATTTATTATATATATATAGATGTTGAATATACATATACATCCCCGCAGCCATGGTGATACCGTGCTAAATAAAGCTGCCTGACAAACTAGGCATCACAGAGATGGCTTTTTGGAACCTTTCAGACCCAAATGGGGCCCTGGACACGCCTTACTTTCACACCCGCACTCTTCATACGTGATTTCTACTGGTTTGTCCGGCCACGAAGCCTGCCAAACATCAATAAATCCAATGTAGGCCAGGCATCGCCTATTTGTCGGCAGTGTCCTTATCAGGTATCACCGCCCTCGTCCTACTCAAATGGGGCCAAGGGATTCGCGTCATGTTTGTTTTTGTGTCATTTTGTTTCCTCTTTGCTCTTAGCTTGATAAACCCATCCCCGCCAGTCCCCTCCTCTTGATCATCAGTCCTTGTGTTCAGGCTGTGTAGGTGTCTCTTACCTGCTGATCAAGGTTGGAAAGTAGATGACTTGCAAAGGGCTTGGAGCACAGTTCTGCGGATACCAAGGGCTGGCAGAATTCAGGATCAGAAGCTTCGTCGGTGCATGGCTCGGAGCTCCGAACAAAAGCAGTGACCAGCAACGCTGATGAGAAAAAGAATGAAAAAGAAGGTCGCCCCTAACTGGAGCTCATAACAGTCAAAATAAGTAAAAGAAGCATTCATATTTTGATACGTTGGTTCCATTAAGACCTCTATGTTGTTCCTTACAAGATTTCGGATTAGTTTTATTACTACCTCAGGCTACGACCTGCAAGTAGCCTGCAAAACTATTCCTGATTGTCATTCATTGGCGACGGAATTTGTTTCGTGAATGAACATGTTCTCAAGGTGGGTCCAACGTCCTTGCTAGCAATTAGGAAGCTACTAGGAACAAGTGCATCGCTACTAGTAGCAGGTGCCTTACTAGTAGAAACAAGAAGCTATTAGAAACAAAATTCAATTCATTTGTGAAAGAGGACAAAGGGGAACCCAGGGGCCCCAGACCCGAGAAGAGACCCAACCTTTGAGATTCCTTAGGTCTAAAGACGGGGAAAACGATAATTGCATTTTTTTCTAGCGAATGCGCCACATGTTTAAGTCATTTAATGAATGTTAGTGTGGTCCAGGCAGTCCCCCAAAAGGTCTTTCGCTGTGCAAACGGAAAAACCTGATTCTAAGCGTTGTTTGTCAGAATTGAGTCGCAACATGTCGCAACTACATCGCAACATTTTTTGGGGCCGGGGGGGGCAGGCCGAGAAGAGGTAGTAGCTAGGTAGCTAGTGGAAGCAAACTGTAGCCAGTAGCTTAAGTAGATTTAAGTAGACGCAGGATGGCTCGCTCTATTCATAATGTGGTTCCTAGTTCCTCCTATAAATCAATACATCATGTCCCCCCTTGCAACCAGCAGACGCGCTGGCGAAATGCGTCAAAGTCAGTTCAAACCCTTTAAGACCTCCATTTTTGCGTTAGCTCCAACTTTTGCGTTTGCCAGAGTTGCTGTTTGGGAGTGTCCGTGATCCTGATCTTTTCCTACTCGGGCCCACGGCCCCCAAGCCGAAACATTCCTAGGACCTTGGTCTTGGTGGGATGGGTGTCGGAGAGGCGGTGGAGTTTTAAGCATGCGCGATCTGCATTGTGGTTTCATAAGGCCCTCAAGAGTTTCAATCTGCACGCCCACAGGCAACTTAGCATCGCTTAGCATAGCGATCATAGCTGTGATCCCCCTGACATGTCTGAGAGGCGATAGGCATGGTGCTTCCGTCTTCTAAGTCTAAGTGAGAGAGGGAGGGATGCATCATAATTTTGATGAAATGACAAAGGATTACCTCAAAAAAATGCATATAACAAGATAATATGTGTTCGATTCAGAGCCCTGAAACCACAAAGCGGGTTTGCCAAAGAGTTGGCATGAGATCTGGCTTTGCACTTCTGAATTTATATCAATATACTGTGGATTGTAGATATCCAAGAGTTAAGCATCACGCTGACCAAAAATCATCGACAGCTGGGTGTTTTCTCCAGCGGCGAGGCAAGATGCGAGCAAAGCCTTGAGGTCTCATACCAGACCTGTGTACATAGGAATGGATGTTCTGTAGGTTGGATGGCCGCTGCTGTTTGGCACGTCTCCACCAGTTGAAGTGGGAGATCGCAGTCACAAACCACGTTGATTTTGAACATTTGAACAATTTTGAACATGTTGTCATTGCTCCCGAGGAGGCTGTGTCAGACGGTGGCTAGGTCTAGTGTGGAAGCGGCTACCTGGCTGCCTTTTGGGCAGTCCGTAGTACTTTGCCAAGAGTTGCAGACATGTCGGCTACAAGGTCCAAAGAGGTTCGATTTCAACGAAATGCCAAGCAACTGCATGCCAAGCAATTGCTTGTACCTGTACTTGTATGCAAACAACTTCGTTTTGGTACAGTTCAGTCGATTCAGTCGATCAGAGCTAGAAGAGTCAAAATGTCGCTGCCACGCCTGATCAGATGCTGTCGGTTGGTTGGACCGGAGTTCTTCCAAAGGCCTTGTACATCAGCTATCGTTAAAAGTACCGGTGCCACCAACCAATGATTCCAGCGGCTGAACATGATCCGATCGGGGACGGAACATGCCAAAGTGCTTTTAAGCGCAAAGAATTTGGTTCTCACTAAGGCATTCTGCAAGTTCCCTTCTATGGTCTTGCATTGAAGTGCCGGAACAGTGACTGAACCCGCCTAGCTGGGGAGGGCCCGGCAATGCGTCACACACTCCTTTGTGAATGTGTGAAGAGATAAGTGAGAAGGACGAGAATCGTGAAACTACGCGAAACTGTAGGAGAACTGCTGAACGTTCCAAGGCACAGGGAGCCAGGCTGAGGTCAGACATGGTCAGACACCAAGGCCAAGCAAGGCGTGAACCTCCCACCAAGCAATGTTGGTCTCCGAGAATGTCTCAGATATTGGCTCCCTTATGTGGTGATGGCGAGGCGTGGGTCTTTTATATCGGCCGCCCCTGGAATGGTGGCACTATGTTGAACCCCTCGCAGTGCCTTGCGTTCAGTGCCACAGTTATGCTGTGAAAGTTTCTCTTTTGTGGTTAGCAGCTTCCATGGACTTCTGTCCTTTGGGTGAGTATCTGGGATGATGAAGCGACATGTTTGGAACACGGAATGCAGGCAGTCTGAAACTCAAGCCATGCAGCAGCAAGAGCGCGATTGTTGAAAGGAGCTCCAGTAATATGTCCTTTATCCGCAGACGTTCTTCCTTCATTGCTTACAGATTTCAGTAGATTTGATTTGTCACAAGGGCTTCTTTGGAAGCCTGGAAGCGCAAAGGATGTTGAGAAATGTTTGCGTCAAGGCCAATGTGCCGGATTCTGGTGCCACAGTCAGAGAATCGGTGCTTGAAGGCTTGCTGCCTCAGCCATCACCGGGCCTGCGCCGGATCGCGGCCAGACTGTGTGACACTGTGTGGCTAGCGCTTGCTTCCTATAGGCTGCTGGCACGCACCATTGTACATACGGGTCTTTTCTCTCTCTCTCTCTCTCTCTCTACGACTCTACCAGATGGGTTGCCCTGCGTTGACCTCAGATTCATTGAAATTGCTGGTCCTGGTAGGTTCTTTCATCAAACTTTTACTGATGTCAATGTGTGTTTAGTGTTGTTCTTCTTATATTGTCGACCTATCCACAGAGCAACTCACAGGAGGGTCTTGCTTCAGGCACTGGCTGGCCGGTTCAGCCTCTTGTGGCTCCATGAGCTTGGCTCAAAGTCCGCCAGACGGTTGTGCCAGTCCATCAGATGCCATGCAAGCCTGCCGTGATAAGGGGGAGGTTTTCATGTCATGCTGCTCAAAGGTGTCACTCGTGAAGTCAGTAATCAGAAAGACGAAAATAAGTAGGGAGACACCTTGGGCATGCTTGCTACTTTCACTTGGCTGATTCGGGGTGGCAATGTGCACAGAGCGCAGGTAGTCGGGATGTTTAGCCAGGATAGCTCGAAGTGCCGGATCCGTCCATTTGTTTTTCTGTATGTGTATATAATGCATGTAACTATTATATATATATATAGTTCTAGTCGTGCACCCCACACTGCTCTCGTGTTTGCTGCCTTGCATGCAAAACACCCTGATCTATTTGTGCCAGCACATTCCACGTTTGTACAGACCACACCAGCTGCAAGCCTCAAAAAGATTGTCCCCACTTTGGCTCAGGTTTGTGTGAACATGGCAGAAAAGGTGTGCTGAGAATGGAGCTACAGTACTGTAGAGATTGTTTGACTTTTCTGGGTTGCTTGAATCTGCTTGATGCATTGCTTTGTGCAGCTTGCTTTCATCACTGCAAGAATGGCAGGAAGGGATCAAATCGCTAGTAAAGAAGGCTTCCCTAATCAGACAACTTTTGCTGCTTGGTTTGAGATTCGCCGATTCGCCCTTTCGTCGCGAGCACTCCTCATGGTTGAAGAACTCCGACGGCAGATACTTGCAGAGTGACGTGACTGCAAGGGGGTAAACGGACAAGTTCAAAACAAAAGGGGATGAAAGTCCATGACATAGAACTTCAGTTGAACAGATGGATGAATGCTACGCTGCGCTGCTGTACTTCCCTGCTTCATGTTGTGGGGTCCGAGCAAGCCAGAACACAGGACCCTGCAGCAGCTGGTTTGTAAAGAGTAGGATCCCTTGCCATTTGAGGGCATTTGCATCCAGCTGGTTGCAACTTGCTCCAGACAAACACCGAACACCGTTGGATTGGATGACACTGTGTTCCATCGAAGGGCGAGCGACTAATGTATCATCCAAACCGCAGGCATCATCAGCGAACGCGCATCCAATCACTAGCTGCCTGCAGAATGAACATTTGTGATGTTTTGCTTTCACACTGACCATCACCGGCTGACCTTTGCAGCTGGATGCAGTCCTGACATGGCTGAAGTGCCATTGGCCAGCTTTGCCACAACCACCGCCAACCATAGAATTGCAGCTGATGATGTCCACTTTTGCAGTCCTACTTCAAGTGCATGTGCCGTTTGAAGTGCTGCATGCGGAAGGTCGCACTGATGGGCACTTTTGAGGATTGGTTTCAATTGCGCAATATTGTGGACCTAAGTTGGTCACTGGGACGACAAGCTGTGACAACTTATGACTTACAGTGTGGCCAAGTCTGGACACGCTCTCACCAATTCTGAATGTGAGCTGGATGTCTGGGATCGTTTGTCCCACAATGGTAGGGGATCTATATGGGATCTAAACCAAGCTATCCTCTGAATTGCCGCCTTTGCACCCTCCAACACGAGCACATGGCAATGCTCCGGTTCGACTACGGCTGAGAGTAGATGGCACTAGCACCCCACATTTGGTGGTTTTGTATGGAATTCCTGCATGTTAAAATTAAGACATCTTGGGGTAGTACCATCTACTCTGAAACCTAACTGAAGGTTTCCTTCCAGCTAGTGCCGAAATGGACGAGATGTTCAGACTCTTTGGTGACATGCCCCTTGTTGGCCTGAAGAGCAAATTCGAGGTTTCCGTCAAATCTTCGAAAAAACTGATGCTTGCTGAACCAAATGGCCAAATTGAATGCAAGTCAATCGTAAAAACACTGGTGTATATTATTACAGGTGGAAATCAAATCGTCGTGACTGTGGCACGGCACTTGCTCGCTGTGTGTTGCCTTGCTTTCTCTGGAAACAAAACGAAGCAGCGCAAATCCAAGGGTGGAGGAGCACGTAAAGCAGCAGAGAGAGGCGGACAGTGAGAGATGCACGGGAACGGACGGAAGACGTGCACGGAGTGTATGAAACACGCTCCCAAGGTTGCAGAAGCATGTCGGCGGATTGTTTCCCGTCGGCTTGGGCCAGGAATTCTTTAAAAATGTCGCAGATCCAACGGCAGATATACATTAAGTAGGCCATCGCTACTAATGGCAAGAAGCTAGCAGTAAACTGGTTTCGCCCGACTGGACACGAATGTTGGTTGATGTGGCACAGGCTCAAGTTCTTGAGTTCAGGACTGGCATAGATCCTGGAATGTGTGATGCTGTTTTACCTTGTTTGTCCGCGTTCGATCCCAAATCGATTCACAATGCAGGAAGATCTATATAACTGCAAGTCCAAGTCTACCAAAGGAAATGGTCCTTTGTTATAGGACGTGTGGTGGCACGGCGGAACGTGTCAGAGGAACAAGATATAGTAGTGTGGGGTTGGCCCGTGCCGCCATGCAAAGTCCATGGCGCCGAAGCAAACGCAATGGTGGAAGTGTCGGCAGGATGCAGCCCTTCAGCAGCAAGGAAGATCGACTGCAGTCACCACCACACAAAATGGGCAGTTTGATTAGTACATGCTTCATGTATAGCTACTCATATGTAGCACAAGGCAGCCGTTGGTGATGTTCTTCTCCGCTGATGCATGTTCTTCTCCGCTGATGCCCACACCAGCAACATATATGTCACAGATGGTTATGTGTATTATAATAAGGCTTAGTATAATAAGGATGTATGCTGTATATATATATATATCTCTCTCTCTCTCTCTCTTCGTCACGCACCTTGCAGGTGGGACATGCCTGCATGCAGGGGCCAAAGGCACGGTGATGGAGGATGGTGAGAATATATCAGACATAATGAAGAGTGTAAGTTGTAAGATCTGAGTTCGGCTTCATCAAGATCATGACCCTATGGGATTTGATGTTCACGTAAGGAAATGCACAAAAGTTTAGCTTTCTACATGCTTCTGGACTATTTTGCGCTGTTAATCCATGTTTGGAGCGATGTCACAATCAGGATCATCAGACAGCTGGACTCAACTTCTTGAGGTGTCTAGCTGAAGGATGGCTCAGGGTTGATTAAACAGCAAGATGAATGTGCCTTCTGAGAGATAGGACACCATCGTTGACGAAACGAGCGTTTCCGTGTTTCGATGCTTCTATGCTTGGCTATGCAAGTCTACTTCACGACTCGCTTGTGTTCAATACGTCCCATTTCTTTGTAGAAAAGAGAACCTATTCGTTTCTGTGTGTATTCAACATGGACTGAAGAGTTCGTTGAAATACATTTTCGCAACCAGGTGCCCTCATGGCGGCCATGGCGGCAATGGGAAGCTGGCAGCAAGCGCTGGCTACTTTGGAAAGCTTGTCCACGAGGCATGACTCTGTGGCGCGACGCGTTTCAAGAATACTTCCGAAAGAGAACTCCCTATTCAACAAAGACTCAAAATTGAGAAACTCAGCTGAGCATCGGACTCACACAAAAAACTTGGCAACTCAGGAGTTCCAACATGACGGGGCTGCTTTTGAGTCCAGAATTAAGGCAAGGGCTAAGTCATGAGTATAGATCTGAGTCCTGATTGTGCCTTTGAATGGAACAATATGGAACAACGCAAAGGTTTGATATGCCCGATCAAAGTAGGCTTGGGATGAGGGTGTGTTCTACACGCAAGGTCGATCCTCCCAGATCAGATTTGCTATAGCGCCGCCGCGCCCTCAAGTTGGGCTTGCGCTAATTGTTACTAGTAGTAAGGCGCTTGTTTCTAATAGCTTCTTGTTACTACTAGTAAGGCACTTGTTACTAGTAGCGATGCACTTGTTCCTAGTAGCGACATTATTCGAGTCATACACTCACTTTCTTCGACTTTGCGCCTTGATCCGAGGCCGTGGCTGCGTGTGCAGGACACTCTATCAAGTGGTCTCTCATGCACATAGT